AATTTACATAGCTAAATATCCATTCATTTCTAAGCCCTGCACTTGAATTCAAACTTTTAAGCAGGTAAACTAATCCCAGATGTTTCATAAGTGAGCTTTGTTATAGAACTAAGTGGACAATGGCTAAAATCTTTCATCACAGCATGGACTTCCCTTGTTGAGAAGTTGATATTCTAGCTACATGGGCAGAGACAGAAATGACTCACTGAAACCACTATCACTACTGACATCTCAGTCTAAATCTTTGTGTGAAATTATTTCTAGCAAGACTGTGGAGATGTAGAATGAAACCCCATCCCACATGGTGTCTGTATAGTAGAAAAAAACATATGAATCTGCAATTCCCTAAGTCAGACTATTTGTCCATCTAATATTCATTCTCAATCTGACCTGCAACAATTTTTGTAGGGGTTTGCCACATATGACTCTTATTTTTTAAAAGATCTGGAGTCACCAGGGATTGCCCATCACTGAGCCACAGTCTCTCCAATGACCAGAAAGATTTCAGGTTGGGTTTTCTAAAATAAATGAGGATATCACCCAACACTCAAACTGGCAATCTGCCTCCTTGCTTTCTTGTAAAAAGTAGAGGTAGTAGGTCCCTCTAAGTTATACTCAAGAGTTGGGAAATCAAGAATTCTGGCACACTAGGCTACTACTGTGTGGTTTCCCTCCACAATTGGATTGGCCCTGCGGCTTCTGTAAAAATGACACTTCATCCAATAAGGGCAAGAGTACATTTCCCCCAAGCAATTATACTTTGTTGCTCATAGTTTTAAGACCATGAGAAAGAAAATGGTCATGGTAGATAATTAATGTTTTTAAATTTGCAATAGCATTTCTGTTTGAGACGTTTTAGAGCCATCACACAAGGTGGTCTGGAACTAAACCAAAAATCATAAAATCACTGCAGCACTATTGAGCAGATTAAAGACAACCAATAAGAAGACAACAAAGGCAAAGAACACTAATCTCACTAGTGATTTCTTAAAATATGTTGAATGTTCTAGAAAAGCTGAACTGCAGTCAGTTCTGGGGTAGAAGAGGGTATTTGTGGTTCCCATTAGGAACATGGGAGATGTTACCTGTTGAGACTAGCATTCTCAAAAGTCCTATCCAGTATGGCATGCTGCCAGGAGAATTCCAGGAGGTGAAGTGCATGAGTTTGGTGATGAGATAATCCTACCTTATAAAATACATCTAGACCTTTAATCATTACTAATATATGCATAAGTTGTAATAAGGAAAGAGAATTTGGAACTTTTACATTACACGATAACTGCATTTTCTGTATATCAGATGAAAAATTCTATAAACAATTCCCAATTTGGAAAAAAGAGTGCTAAAATGTGGACTAATCACATGGTAAAAGCTAAAATGTCTAACTTGATAAGATTCAAAGGAAAAGGAGGCAAGTGCTATTCAGAATCTGCATCAATGACTTGGGTGATGGAATAGAAGGCACATTTATCAAATTTGCAAATGACACCAAATTGGGAGAGATAGCTAACACCCCAAAGGATAAAACCAATATTCAAAATGACCTTAATAGATTAGAGAGCTGTGACAAAACTAACAAATGGATTTCAGCAGGTAGAAATGCACAGATATAGGATGGGTGACACCAGGGGAGCTGTCGCTTCACTGTCCGTTTGTGACACTGATGAAGTACTTTCCTCATTCTTTGCATACTTCCTGGAGATTTTTATGGCCTCGTAAATCAGTTAAATTAGCCTCCCCACATAAGTTGTACCTAAATTTCCTACTTGACAGATGCAACTGTCTTTCAGGCTGCAAAGGTCAACAACAAGCTACACAATTTTGATCGGGAGTTCACTCCAACCCAGGCCGGCTTCGAACTCATGACTTTTCATGAGTCAGTAGTGATCTTAATGCAGCTGACTCCCAGCCAGCTGCGCCACAGTCCCGGTGCAGTAATGCTCTAAAAATAAGCTAACAAACTACGTACTAGTATTTATATCCAGTGCCATTACATGTACAGCTGCTTACTCTGCATTACTTTGCCTTCTTAGGCAATGGGAATAATAGTGAAGATGATGATAATGATAATAATTACTACTACTATTGCTACAGCAGTTTTAACTACCAGAAAGCAAGATACTGCACAAAAAGTAATATGCGCTGGTGTTGCATTGGCTACAGAACTGGTATCAGGTGGATTTATAACTGTTCTAGTATATCCCAAACTGATTTTCTGTCTTTCCTTAGAAAATCCTATGTTGATGCACTATAAGCCTAGTACTTAGGGGTGTCTGTGGGGAACTGGCAACAAGCTGTCCACTAAACTAAGAGTAGTTGAGTGCTGTGTTGCAACCACACACATGAGACTTTTTGAATCCTCATTTGGCTATTTCATGCAACCTGACTTGAGCTAACTCTGTTCTCCTCTCACTTCCAAGCAAGGGGAATGTTGTAAATTGTTTTTAGTAAGAAAGCATCATGTGGTTCTAACTTTCTTCAATTCCGTTGGGCATTGTTTACAATTGATACTTCAGTCATTATGGGAAAAACACTACGAAAGCCGCACAAAATTATGGTTTCACTTTGTTACTAGTAATCCCTAAATGAGGGTTTTTTTCCTTTCCATCAAGTGGAATACTTTGCAGAGGAAGAAATTCACTCTGAACTAATAGTATATTTTACATCTTTGTTTCCCCTATTCAGTGTGTTGTTTCATGTGTAAGTATACAAAATTCATGTTGGACTCTATATACATACCAGTTGTTTGCGAAACTTTAAAGTGTGACTTTAACTGTTTAGGAGACTTTGGGACCAGGTTTGGGTACAAAGGTTTAATAATCTGGATATTACTTACATGAAATGGGTTCCAGGTCCATCATGGGCCATATCACAAATCTAAGGTAGTGAAGTGTAACCAAATAACGTAGTATTCAGAAGACAGCTGGTTTTGCACATCGTGAATCTGTTCATTATTAGAAGTTAGAAATATAAAACCAAGCTTTGGACTGAACAGGTAATAACTAAAACCAGGTGAACTATCCCTTGCCCTAGAGGGCCATTTTACTGAGTCGACAGCCTATCCTTGGGGTCCAAGTGAGTCTGTGCTTTTCTAGGGGATGTTGAGTAATTATATGCAGCCTTAAATCTGTTTAGCATTACCAAAAAGCCTAGTTTTACAATTCTGAATCAAGTTATAATGGTATGCTAGGAAAATAAAGTACTGGCCACAAATGAAACTTAATGTATGAAATATTTATGCATTCCCACTAATGTCATTCAACATATTAATAAACGAGGCGCTAGGTCTCTCTCCTGCTGGATCCATATGGCAGAACACCATCTAAAGCTAAGACCTGCTTGTCTAATGTTATGGGATATGTTTCAGTTTGTGTAATCTGAGGATGTGGATAGGATCCTTGGAGAGATGAGAGTCACCATGTGTAAACTGGACCCATATTTTCCTGAAGGGACTTGGATTGACTGAGGAGTATTGAAGGCTTCACTACCCGAGGCAGCTTGTCTAAAAGAGGTTCTGGTGAAGCCATTGTTCGGAAGGGAAATTCTCTCTGTATGCCACTACAATATCCCATTTTGGACAAAGCTTTGGGTTGGCTAGTAATCTTCTAGTATTCCTGAGTATCGAGATCCATTTCAGTTTGGCTTCAGGCTTGGGTATGAGACAGACAACTTTGGTCATCTTGATAAATGACCCACACAGGGGAAATATATCACTGTTGGTTCAACAGTGTTCAATTTTCAGTACCATTGAACATGATACCCTATTCAGCTGCATCCTTGGGGTGGGGCTCAGGGGTGCTGTTTTAGAATGACTTCCGCCTTTATTTGAGAGGAAGACACAGAAGGTGGTGCTGAATGGTGGCTATTCAACACTATAGTCGCTAACCTATAGTATCCCTCAGGACTGGGTTCTGTCCTCCATTCTGTTTAATGTTTACATTAAATCACTGGGAGGGGGGCCATATGCAGTTTTGGGTTTCAGCATTGTGAATATGCCATGACACACAACTCTGTATCTGTTTCCCATCTAATTCCAAAGAATCTGTTTTGTACTAAACCATTATCTGATGCCAATAGTCGACTGGATAGGAGTGAATAAATTGAAAATTAACCCAAACAAGGCAGAAGTGTTCTTGGGTGGTTGAACAACAGATCAGGCAGTAGGGATTCATCCTGTGCTAGATGGGGTCACACTCCCCCTGTAATCTCAGGTTCACAGCTTGGGTTTTCTCCTAGACTCAAATCTGATCATAGATGCCCAGGTTTCAGCTGTGGGCAGGACTTACATAGTTAAAACCAGTTTCCCAGCTGCACCCAATCCTTGAGAAAGTCACATCTGTCAGTTGTGACCCGTGCCTTGATTACTGATGTAATACACTCTGTGTGAGGTTGCCTTTGGAAACTTCAGCTGTTTCAAAATGCTATTGCCAGGCTGTTGAATGGAACAGGTCACAGGGATCATGGGACTCCCCTGTTGCAACACCTCCATTAGGTACCAATCTGTTTCAGTGCAAAATTCAAAGTTGTCTTGGGTCCTGACTATTTGAAAGATCTTATCTTCATATATGTGTGTGTGTGTGTGTGTGTGTGTGTGTGTGTGTGTGTTCCTTAAGATCTGCAGGGGTGTCCCAGCATCTTTGCAGGTATGGCTGGTGAGGACTTGAGAATGGGCCTTCTCTGTAGCTACTCTGAGACTCTGGAGTTCCTTTCCATGGAAGATCCAGTTGATCCCCGGCTCTCTTTCTACCAGCTGGTGAAGTTATTTTTATTTAAGGAGACATTTGGTGGCCACAGGTAGAGTGTGTAAAAGGGAGATTGTTAAATTGTTTCAGAATTCTGGGCTCCTTTTCTTTGTATCGTATGCCACAATCTTCAACCTTCTCTTTAATATCTATGTCTTAAGCAATTCTTTATTCCTGCACCTTGTATTGGAAAGTGTTTAAGAAACGTTAACAGCTTCACACAGCAGTTTCAGACATACGATTTGATTCTTTCTCCAGGGGAGCTTTGTGAAGAGGTGATCAACCAGTGTGTCCCTGAGCTCAATCCTTGCAAACATGACTCCAAATGTGTATCTCTTGACAAAACATACAGGTAAGTAAATTCATATTAATATTTCCATGTTGGACTATATGAATCCACAGATAGCAGTAATGTTATCTAATAATATTAAAAGAGCCTGCTGGATCACATCAAAGGCTTATTTTTGATGAACGTTTTGCTCATGCAACAAAGCAAATGAAACTACATGCTACCTCTCATGTTCACATCAACTGATATATAGAAGCATACTGCAACACATAATTATTTCATCCTATAAAGAGAGAGCAGTGTTGCTATTATTTGTACTTTAGATGCACTTCTGTGATGTTTCATATGTGGGTCAAAAATGAAAATAATATATTTCCATTCAGTTCTTTCTTCTCTGACTCTGTAGTTCCAGTTTGGCTCCTGGCCTCTCATGCTCGTCATCTCTTAGCTCTGCAGTGTTGTACATTACTCATCTAACCCTCTCTTTCGCTAAGACCGAGATAGGGATCACATAGCCCTCAAGACATAATCTGTAAACTTTCATAGTGAGCGTACACGGTGCAAGATACCACTTACAATCTCTCTGACAATATACTAATATTTAAATACTTGTCTTGAAAAACATTTAGGGTCCTCTTCTACTATTATGGTTGAAGTTTAATAGTCATATAGTTTCCTGCATCAGAAGAATTCTTTTAATCTGAGCTAGGGCTCTCGTTTTTCCTCCATATATTGAGTAACACAAAATAATGCAATGCATAAATGTTAAACAAAGGAAATAGTAGCAGGAACTGACACTCTCTGATTCCTGACTGTCCATAACTCAACCCAGTAATGAATAATCATGCCTGGAAAATGCTGCCTGATGGAAAGGAAAAAAGTGATTAACTTTTCTCTACTAGCTAGAGCTCTTTCCAGTGTGCCTCCTCTATTTTTGACCATCCCCATGCTATAGCTGGTTTTCCTGCTTGCATTGTTGCTGGATTTTGTTTTCTTGTCAGAGGTGTAGAAGAGGGAAGAACTGCAACATGAAAATAAAAAATGGAACTAATGGTGATCTTGAATGGAATTTAAATTAATGCAGATCTTTAAAATGGTTTTTAACATGAATAGATAAAATACCATGTTGATGTCCTCTATAACTGCGAAGTGGTAGGAATATATTCTAGGATTAAAATATTATCCTATCACTGTTTTATTATGGATGGCTTGAGCTTGTCCTTATGGTCCTTCTTCTCAAAAGCAACTTTAGAAACTCAGGCAGAACAGTAAAGAAAAATTGAGAAGACACGAGTAAGTGAAATAATAACGTGCAACGTGTCACTCATGACACCAAGTTTTGTATTCCACTCTACCATTTGGGAGGGAAGACTGGAACTATAGTCTCCATTTAAAAAGAAGGAAAAAAGATATTTATTTAAACACTACCTTTTCAATTCAGCAATGTAGTGCTGACAGCAGCTAAGCAGCCCTGCAAAGCACGTTATCGCCACCACAGAAATGAAGGAAATCTGGTAATTTTTTACTGTAATTATTAGTGGTGCCTTTTGGCAAGGAATGCTCAAACACATAGGTGACATGCAATAAAATTAGGAAGTACCAGCAAATGGGGAACAAATTGTAGGCAAGAATTTGAAGTATTCATCTACATTAACATACTGTATTCTGTGGTACCTGTATGAGATCATTTTTGTTCCTTTTAGCCTCAGTGTCTGTGATTATTTAGTGGAGGCAGATTTTAACCCAGTCACTCTCCTCTAAATTATGGAATCTATTTTCATTGTATTGTCAAAGGCTTTCATGGCTGGAATCACTGGGTTGTTGTAGATTTTTCAGGCTGTATGGCCATGTTCTAGAAGCATTCTCTCCTGACGTTTCACCTGCATCTATGGCAGGCACCCTCAGAGGTTGTGAGGTCTGTTGGAAACTAGGAAAATTGGATTTATATATCTGTAGAATGTCAACAAAGGATTCCCCCAGGCAGTAACACCCACACCTAAAAACGGTCAGGTCATCAAATGCTAATCAAGGTGGCCAATCAAAACATTCACATTTAGCTCCAACAGACAAGAGTTCTTTCTCCCACCCTGGACTTTCCATAGATATATGAATCCAATTTTCCTAGTTTCCAGCAGACCTCACAACCTCTGAGGATGCTTGCCATAGATGCAGGCAAAACGTCAGGCGAGAATGCTTCTAGAACATAGCCATATAGTCCAAAAACCTACAACAATCTATTTTTATTGTTTTTATTTTAAAATGTTCTGCACTTCTCTTCATGAAAGCATCCAGTGCAGTTCATAGAATTTTCCTAATTCAATATCTGTCCTCAGAAAATAAACCTGTTGTTCCGATTTCCCAGTTTTTAAGCAGGAAAGCAGGGTTATAAATAAATTTTATTATTCTGAATCATGGAATTACTATCTGACAGAATAAAGCACTGATTTAATGTGGCCTTTCTAAGAAAAGTGGTAGTTCTATCATTACGGCAATAGCCAATACACATCATAAAAGTGATCCATGGCAGCTTTGAAAAAGGACTTGTACACCGTTTCTTATTACATCACTTTATATTAGGACAACAGGGATCAATAAAGCAACAGGATTAAATGCTGCTATTTCCTCCCACAGTATCTTATGATATATATCATTTGCTTGCCAGTGTGCCTGAAGTATTGCTGAGCTCCTTCCCTATGCCTTTGGAAAACTTTGAAAAGGAACAACCCCTGAGCTTAATCAGACACCATCCTTAACTTTTTTGTTCCAGCCTCATTCCTTAGAGAGGTGTGATGTCACATGACACAAAGTGTTCTGCATAGCAATTCTGACTCTGTATCTATATTCAGTTTTCTGGATTTTATCCTGGGGAGGGCAAGCTGCATTGAAGTTCAGGTGTCTGGGTCAACACTGAAGTGGGGCAGGAAAACCAGTGATGGATGGAGATGATGAAAGAATGGATGGTTGAGTAGCAGTCCCCAGAGTTGTTAGATTTAGTATCAAGCCTATGTGGCAAATGTGAGCAAAGGCATCAGAGGAATTCAGAAAGAATTTACCACACTTATATCTCACCCTTCTCACCCTGAGGGGGACTCAGAGCAGCCTTACAAAGCCAACAATTTGATGCCACACATATGCATATTAGTAAATAAACAAGGCATTAAAATCCAAAACAATTTAAAATGTCAACACTAAAACAGCAATTAAAATCACGCAATCCAAGTCATATTCCAATTGAGTGATGTAATTAAGTGATGCTTTCTCCCACTTTTCCAAACATTGATTGATTGATTATTTAAATTTATACATAACTTTTCAACTTCAACCTTCCATGAAGATTTACAAAGCTTCTAAAGTTAATAAAAGCGTTAAAACCATTATTATCCAGTATTTTCATCCAACTGTTTAGAACAGTAAGAAATAAAGACTTTGTGTGTTTTACTTGGGATTGTAAGCAAAAGCACCTAAGACAGATAGTAATAAAAAAGCTGATGGTGTTATGGTTTTGGGGTTTCAAAATAGATCAACACAATGCTCTTATCTATGACTAGGTAAAGGTTGTCCCCTGACATTAAGTTCAGTCATGTCTGACTCTGGGGTGTGGTGCTCATCTCCATTTCTAAGCCGAAGAGCCAGCGTTGTCCATAGACACCTCCAAGGTCATGTGGCCATGACTACTCAAATATAAATTGGCAAAGGTCAAGGCAGAGTGGACAGGGACCATAGGAGAAAGTCTGGTGCCTCCTCTGCCTTATCTTCACATTCAGTTCTTGTGCTTTCAGACTTATACCTGAACATGGTTAAACTGGCTTAGGAGTCCTTGTACTCTACTTCTCCTATCATGCCCAGGCAACATAAAACAAAATATTTATGTAATTTATGTTTTGTTTTCCCTCCCTCCCTTCCATATCTGCCTTTTTCTCATGACTTGTGAACATACCTTCTGTGGCCATTATACATAGGCTCTGATTACGATGACCAGAATATCTCTACTACATATTATCTCATGCTTCTGATCCACCTCTCTCCCCACAATTTTTTTCTGAGAAAGGAAGGAGCAGTCTAGAGATGTTAAAGGGCTACCATTAGAATTAGAATTAAATAAGCTGCTGACATGTACAGTCCAGAGGTATCTGAAAGTATATCTCCAAAATCTCTAACATGTGCTAAACTATGTAAGTAATAGATGTTCCTCTTTTGTTCTGCTTTGAATGATATGCTTGTTATTTTCCAGCTGTAGACTAACATCCAGCTGGGAGGTTTGAAATGTAGTTTATAGGCTGAAATACATTCAAGCCAGTCCAAAACGTAGTGTCTAGGATCTTGAGAGACTGCTCAGTTTTTCAGTGAGAGCTGCTCCCCCTTGCCTGAGACACTAGATGCCAAATTTCAGCCAAGAGCACATTTTTTATGGTTGAGTAATAAACCTCAGAAAACAGGGTTTTTAATGGAAATGCTGAAAGAACTTTAATACAACCAGCTTAACAACTGCAGCATAAAAATGTAATAGCCTATGGTTGCTGTTATTTGGGTTCTTCCAATCCATTTTCTATATTATACAGGTTGTTATCTAAATGCAATAGAAAGTGTAATTCCACTTCTTATGAAATTTTGTCTTTATATGAAAAAATGAGAAACAAATAATCTTATTGTTTCCATTATTGTCTGACAAAAAGAAATATAAAAGATAAAATTATTCAATTACCACAGATAAGATATATTTGCAATACCCTTTTGCTGGGGAGCGGCGTGAGCTTCCGCTGTCAGCCCTAGCTTCTGCCAACCTAGCAATTCGAAAACATGCAAATGTGAGTAGATCAATAAGTACCGCTCCGGCGGGAAGGTAACGGCGCTCCATGCAGTCATGTCGGCCACATGACCTTGGAGGTGTCAGCGGACAACGCTGGCTCTTCGGCTTAGAAATGGAGATGAGCACCACACCCCAGAGTCAGACATGACTGGACTTAATGTCAGGGGACTACCTTTACCTTTACCTTTTTTTGCTTTGGCATATCTATTGCTTTTGTCCTTATGTCATGAATGGCCTTTTTTCTATATAATTGGACACTGGTTTGTACAAAGAGGTTAATGATGCTCTCTTTACAGATGTGAATGCTCGCCTGGCTACAGTGGAAAACACTGTGAAACTGCAGGTGACTGCGTAGGAATGAAATGTCACCATGGGGGTTTCTGTATCGATATCCCAGGTGTTGGAGCTGCTTGCCGTTGTCTTCCAGGATTCAGGTAATAAAAGTGGAATGTTTTGCTTTGGACAAGTTATGATCTCTGAAACTGGAATGTGCTACTTCAGACTCATTGAGCTGAAGATGGATAATATTGGAAGGATGGAGGGTTTGAATTTGCATTCATTATGATAAAAACAGTTAAGATGCATACCGACATATCTACAAACAGATGATTTCTTCCTACCCATTTTCTTTTTGGCCTTTATTTATTTATTTACAGTATTTTCATTCCGTCCTTCTCACCCAGGGCGGATCACAGAACATGCATATGTGGCAAATATTCAGTGCTGTTTTGTATACAACTAGACAGACAATTATACATAGATAAGAGGTATATATATCGGCATTCACGATCTTTCGGCATCTTGGAAGGTGTTTTGCTCAGTTCCAGCCACAGAGCGGGGGGGGGGGTACTGTTGCTCCATCTCCCTGCTGAAGAGCTAGTTCGTAACTTCAATTGAGTTGTTTGAATCACCGGCATTCCTTCTGGGTGCCTCAAAATACCTCCCCCACTTTATTATAAGCAATACCTATTTATCTAATCATATTTTTGCTTTCAAACCACTAGGTAGGTGGAAGCCGGGCTAAAGTCCAGGAGCTCTCCCTGTCCCAGCTTCGAACTGGCAGCCTTTAGTTTAACATGGTGTGCTAAAGCATCACTTTTCCAAATGTCAGACATATTTGTATTGAATCTCACACTGGCCCAGTTCAGAGACAATGGAAAATAGAGCTAGAAGTATTTAGTTAAAAATAATGAGCAATTACAATTAATTCATTTTACCAATATCTGGGACATAATGAAGATACATGGTTGGATGGCCATCTGTCAGGGGCGATTTGAATGCAATATTCCTGCTTCTTGGCAGGGGGTTGGACTGGATGGCCCATGAGGTCTCTTCCAACTCTTTGATTCTATGATTCTATGATTCATTACAGTTATTCTGTAACTGGTTTAATAATTTTAGAACAATCAGCCAACCACATTATTTTAAATGTTACTGTAATGATAACTAATTACTGTACCTATGTGGATTGTAGCAAAGTGCTTTTAAAAAGTGACTATGTCCACTGCTATTTTTAGTACCCATAGTCTGTTCATTTAAGCCATGGTCTATCTCTAATTTCCTTTTCAGACATTCAGTTAATCTCTCTCCATCCATCCCTTCCTCAGTACCTTGCAAATTTGTTTTTAATCTATCCCATGGATACATCTTATGCCACTTTTAAAAACTTTAGGAAGCACTTCAACAGCTGGAGGCAGGGTCACAGTTGTCACGGGCTACTGAACAGTGCTGTGCATTGATCTTTGGGTTGCAAATAGGAAATTTGAATTTCCCTCGTTTTCAGCCTGATAGAAAACTGTATGGCTGCTCACAGTGTGGTGAGTGTATTTTCAAAGCCGTCTCATCACTCACATATGTCTGGATGTTATTTTTAGACCAGCAAATATACCTTCAAGACATGTCTACCACACTGCAAAACTTATATTTGTCTTCACTGAAAAAGGGCATTAATAACAAATGTAAGGCAATGGCAGACAGAGAGGCTGATTGGGAAAACCCAAGCTCCGTGTTCTGTTCTGGAACTTCTGCCTGCCTCCCTCAATACTGAGGTTCTGATTGTCATAATAGATCTCTGCTTTTGGTGTACAAGATCTCTGTGGCTTTGCCTGCCAATTTGAAGTCTAATTCTGACAGCTGCCAATGGAGCCACTCTCCTGAAACTCTTACTGTATGTCAGAGATAAGGGCACTTCGCCAAATGGATTCATTAATCACTGCCTGGGGAGTGAGATATTGCTTCCTTCCAGACAAATTTCTCTGCGTGTTTGAGTGCATTGCAGGCTCAGTGAGACAGCAATACTAACCTCTCTCCTAAAAAGCAACTCTGATAAAATAAATATGTGGAGGCATTTGTGAGCATTGAACCCACACCAATTTGTTGTTTCCCTATTTACTTTCTTTAGTTCCTAGCACATACTTCTGGTCTGTTGTTCTGCTTTTAGCTTTCTAGAGAATAGGTATTGATCTTTAAAGCAATATAAGGCCATGGATTCAAAAGCCCACTGATTACAAAAGATAAGATAAGCAACTGAATTTCTTTGCCCACCCTGACCATTCTGTCTTTTCTTATATATTTTCCTTACTGCTTGCAGAGAAAAGGACTAATGGATATATTTATCTAAGTTTGTACATCACCTGTATCCCTAAAAGTGTCTATTTGTGGGTGGCACTTTCTTTTGCCCTGGAAATGTACATTGCTTAAAAGTTATTTTCCAAAAGCAAAGAGAGGCTTTTAGGAACTAAAGACACATACAGGGACAATACATATACAAGACAAATAGTACGAAGAGATTTTGGTTTGCTGAGTGTTTGTTTTCCAAATATATATGCTAACAGTGTAAATCTTTGCTTATTTTTTTCATAAACATGAACAACTTTGGAAGAAAGACTTTGTGGGATTTTAAGAGAGTGTGTGCCTTTGGCAACTTGTTTTTGCAAAGGTTTCTAAAGACTGTTTTATATAGAAAGGGTTTTTGTACAAAAAATGTTCTGTGCACACCCTTTTTTGCTGAGGTTTTTTTTTTGTCTCTTTTTTTCCTTTAGCACAGGAATGAGAAATTTCACAGACATTGGCAGGTTTTTCTACCTTTTTGAAATGAGGTTCTTCTGTGTGTCAAGTCACACTTTCTTTTCGAGGTTGATAAAACTGAAAGCATTCCTCACATGCCTAGTACATTCTGCCATTGAGTCAAACATCAAGGCAATCAGAATCAAAATTATCCCTAGCTATCCAACAATTGACAATGGAGAGAGGAAATGTGAGATCAGGAACAATTGCAACAAATTGGCCTAGTTCTTATTTAATCTATAGAATAGATGTAGAACAGACACAATTAAAAACTGCAAAATATTGTTATGAAAATAGATTAAGGACACATGCTCATATACAAATGTTTTGGAGGGGGCACTTTGGTTCAAATAGTCAGTTATAATGCTTACAGGTGACCTTTGACAAGTCACCATCTTTTAGGTTACCTTAGTGTATAATATTGTAAATTTGAGGAAAACAGGGATAATCCTCATGCTTGAGAAAATGATGAGATACGTATTATAAGTTGTAAGTGAGTCAAAACGCTTAGGAAGAATCATTGTCTTCCATTTTGACTCTAAAAGAGCAAAAATGACTAAATTGTTTTGTGATACTTTTATATTCTTTAAGCACTGCAGTTTCACATAGAAATTGAAATTCTGCTTGAAAAACCACTTCTACTTAATATGCTTCACATAGTAGTGGCCCTCTGTATTTTCATGCCAAGTTGCTCTACTGAGGATTTGATGTTTTAATTTAATTTTTAGTTAAGAGAGCAGTTGCAAACATGGACTACCACAGAGAAGAGTTCTGTGATGTGTGTGCTTGTAAAATCAATTCTAGTTCATTTACAAAAGTATATAGTAGTTCATGCCTTGGGCATTAACTGTGTAGCTATTTGAAAGTCTAAGTGCTAGTGAAAGCTAAGAGATTCAGCGTGGTGAATTGCTTGTTGTGACCTATGAGAATCGGAAGTGAAGACAATTGTAATGAACTGAAGCTAAGAGATCCAGTATGGTGAATTGTTTTGGGTGTTGTACTATGACTTTGGAGACCAGGGTTTTGATTCTCCGCTCTGCCATAGTGAACCCAGAAAATCCCATAATAAATGTGCCTTAGAGCTCCCATAAGTAGAAAGGAGTTTAAAGACACAAAACAAATATGTAAATTTGGCTAATAATAAAGGAAGCAGAAGTTCTGGACAGTTCAGTAAGCTTGTGGAAAATATACCCATCTACTTGAAAGGCAGGGGGCAGACAGAAAAAAAATCTAAGACATCTTTTCAAGATACAGCATTTAAGTTGGGATCACACTTTATTTTCCAGAAGAGTCATTAGCCATTGTCTTTTTTAGTGATGACTGAGGTTACCAAAGTAATTATTATATAGAAGAGAGAATTTCTGCAGGTTGCTTGCTAGTTGATAGTCTGACGAACAGCACTAGCTGAAATTCAGTTTTTTACACAACCATTAAAGGACTCATCTCCAGTTTCCAGTCTGGGAAACCAATGATGACGTGTGACAATTGTTTTTAGAACACTTCGGTTTAGACCCAACTAGGAAAGATGTTGGTGGAACTTCAATTCTGAAAAAGTCAAACAGTTAGTGCCTATAAGTGCCCATAATTTAGGAGTGGAGTACCATGATGCTGTCAAAATCATTTATCCTGTCCTTAGGGAGTTGGGAGAAGCAAACATCAAGTACTATTGAACCACTGGTGGAACTATGACGCAACCTAAACTCAAAAAATAATTGCATTTAGTCTGTATAAGCCCCCTTCCTAAAGCTAAAGGGTGACTCAAGTCTCTCAGAGCCATCCAAATATTTTTTTTTAAGGAAAGCACACCAAGAGCAAAGAGATGCTTTTTCTTTCTCCCAAGTGCCCAAATGCGCACATACACCCCACCCACCTATCCCACACTTTCCGAACTCCCAGTCCAACTAAATAAAAAGAATCAAGAAAATAAAGGAAAATCAAAAAGATTCAATTCTAGAAAGAGACCAAGCCAAAAAATAAAGGTGAGAGTGAGTGGCAAGGCAATCAGACTGAATCACCTCTCTAGAGCCAGGACGCAACTGAGATCAATGGAGGCACTAGCCCTATTAAATAGATACAGCTTGTGTAAGACACATCATGCTGTTCTTCTCTTCACAGGGAAACCCCATGCGAGCATGTGGTAGCCTCTTAGTGTGCTGCGTGATGCCGAATAGGAAAGGAGGAGCTATGACCGGCTGCCGCATGGCCTATTTCAGCCACAAAAAAACATGGTAGCTGAACCCTTACCATTATGGCCTGCCGAACAAGACAGATTGGACAAAGGGAACTGACCAAACTGAATCCGTGCACAAGCCTAGTAAACTTATGATACTATACTAAATTATATGCTCTCCCTCACTTCCAAATATTG